AACCCATGCCTGTGCCATTCAGTAGTATTTAGTAAATTGAACTTTTGTATAAAGGTTTTAGAAAATGGCAAGGCAGAAAATGAATGTCTTCTTGCTGCTAATTTTATCTTCCACCGCACACTCCTTTTTGGAGATTAAAGCGTTATGAATCTATTCACTAGTGAAAGTTATTTCAACTTTCCTAGCACATACCAGGATGCAGAAAAGCAAGTACACTTTCACAGCTGTTCCTCAGGTCTCTCTGCTGGAAATAGAACCTGTTAAGCTGCTAGGTTTCCGCTTAAAATAACCAAAAATAATGAAATAAAACAATTAACAGGTGAATCCTCATTAAATACAAATACTCGAATAAATAGTACAGCTAGGTAATTGACTGCGTATGTAAACTAGCTGTAGATAATTGACATGACCTTCATTTAACGAGCCTCCTTCCCATTAGCGGAGATGACTGCCACAATTATGTGCCCTTATTCTAGCTGTAATTGTATGGACTTTATTGAAGTACAAACTAGGTCACGTCTTCCTGAGATCTGGTCCATGGTGGGTGACCTCTTTTCATTGCTTCAGCTTTGCTATGCTGCATGAGAGAAGGAAGGATGTTCTTGCGGACATGAGAATGGTGGTTGTTCAGGAAACCAGTCTCAAATGTTGTTTCTGACAGATGTCTGTGTGACCCGGGGGAGTAGCTTAAGGCTAGGTCTCAAGGAGGCTAGCAGACATCTATTTTAAGTAGCTTCTATCTGTATTATACAAGTTAGTAAGTGTATGCAACTGTCTACAGGACAGCTGTTGAACCGAGATTCCCTCTCCTAGAGAAGTCATTGCTGTTTTATGCCCAGTGACATAGCTGAACAGGAGGGGTGCAAAAGAACTTCAGCCTTTAGCTGTTGTTCCACGAAGGTGGGAAGTAGAGACGGAAACCACCTCCAGCTGAGAAGGGAGGGGATGGATGCACAGTAGGACTGCCAACTTAGCCTCTATCATCAGTGATTTTCAGTTTGGTTTTATTTCCTAGCTGTCTGACTAAAAGGGGCCCATGTTGTACTGATGCCCTCGGAACATGCAATAGCAGCCAGGTTGCTCCATTTACGAAGTACTCGGTGCTGATGAGCCTCCGTGGGACATAGTTGCTCAGTCTACCAGAGTGGCACAAGGCGTGAGTGTACCCAGAACTGCTGGGGCGTCTCCCTGCAAGGCCTCATAGTGTGCCCAGCATGGAAAGGGGCCCTACCTTGCTCAGTAGTAGCAGGCGGGGAAACCAGGAAAATGCAGCTTTCTCCCATGATCCCACCCTGGTTCTGCTTCCGCGTGGGGCAATGTGGCGACTTCCTCATAACCGAAAGGATGTGCATAATCTGTTAGTGTTGTGGGCTTGCAAGGCACTTACTGTAACAGGACAGGCAGTATCTTTACTCTCTGCAGCATAATGAAGGTTTGGTATCTGAGGAGCAGGGGAAAAGGACAGTAATCTGCCATCCAAAGTCTTTCTAGTAACCTTTTTGGCGCTGCGATGGGATATTAGTCCTAAGTAAGAGGTGAATTCATGATGCATTCATAAGTCCGTTCAAAAGTAGCTGAAAGGTGGTGTTTCAACCCATGGAGTGAGATTTAAATCTTACTCTGCTATGGCATATTAAACCCGTAGATTTTGAGCAGCTGCTACTAGCAATTGCTATGGCCTCTAAAATGAAGCGATTTCCTAGGTGTTAGAATATTACTTCCTCATATTAAGTCACCTCATCTCATTTTGCTGCCAAAGACAAGGGCGGTGTGTATTGCTCAATTCACTGTCAAGATACAGTGAAGAATCTTTTCACATCCTGCTTGCACAGTTTGGCTTAGTCTGGGGCGCATTTACAGAGAAGTAGATGTCTGATCGGTGTTTCCTTGCTAGCAACATTCCACGTGTCTGTGCTGCCAAAGCTTACAATTACATACTCTTCTACTGTTATAAATGTGAGGAAGAGGGGTGGCTTTTAGGGGGACACACTTGTGTATTATCAGTGTTACGTGGATAATGGCTGTCTTAAAGCTGTTGGTTTTCTGAGCCTCGTTGTACGCTGGTTTTTGCTACCCCCAATTATAGCAGCAGTTGCATGTCATCGGATGGGATGTAAATTGATCAAGCTTGACAGCAGTTTCCTTCCTAAACGGAAGGCAAAATTGAATAAGGAAAGATTAATTGAATGTGAGATATAAAATGCTGTTATATCTGGTGACCAGCCAGCCATTGGTGGAGGATGCTGAGGGCTTATGGGAGTCAATCAGTGAGGTTTCTATGCACCTCTCTGTCCCCTGTCATTTTCCTTGCAAAAAAAAATCCATGCAAATGAGGTTGTTCAGCCATTCATCCACAGATCTATTCATCTCTCATCCCTCCACGTTCATGGCTGCCATGCGAGGGGAACAGCCTGGTGGTGATTGTGAAGGATGTGGCCTGGTTCAGGAATCCTTCTATCCTTGGGTCACCTACCAAACTTGAAAGGCCAATGTCGAGCCCCCAACTGGTGTACTCAGCTGCTGGGTGCAGGCTTCTCCTTCCCTGTTTTGTGCTTGTCTTGGTGCCTCTTGGGTTGTGTCCTCCCTCTTTCGCACTGGAAGGCCCTTCGGGGTACTACGTGCTCAGACAGAGTCTGTCCTCCAGAGCAGAGATGTTGGCTGGGACCTCTGGGCACTACTCTAATAAAAATAACAGGAACTTGATTAGGAGCCAGAAGATCTGTGTTCTGTTCAGTGCTCTGGTGGTCACAAAGCATGATGTGGGTCTTTGAGTGGTTTTGGGTAGGTTTGGTGTTTTTTTTTTTTTTCCTTTTAAGTTTCATGTAAAACAGTTCTCAGAAGAGGGAGTGTATGAATATTATTATTTTGGTTGCCTGTTCCACTAGCTCTGCATTTGCATGCTAGCTGAACCACCTCTTCTCCCTCTTGTCTTGTCTCTCCTTGTTTGATAAAGGAAGACTGATAACCTTCTTCCTTGTGTTGTAAATCATCTCTGTAGTGTCTCTCTTCATTCGCTTTGAGGAAGAAATCTGATATTACTCCCTGTAGAATGTTTTAGAAATCCTAGGATGAGAAAACCTGCAAAATATTAATGTTCTGCATAGCTAGAGCAAACACTATGTTCCTGTGAGTCACAGATGTCAGGTTTGTTTAATCTTCATAAATCTATGCCACAATAACACTTTTAAACAGGAAGAGAGATGGAGGGACGAAGGAAGAGTTGTGCTGGGGTAGAGTGAATTCTTAGCCAAAATCTTGTTTAGTGGGGGGCTGGGGGTGAGTGAGGCATGGACACAAACCCAAACACTTCCCACCCACCCCCCACTTCATTAAGTAAACTTTGCGACCTACATTTTGGGCACTGCCAAAATGTACATGTTGCATGTACATTTTTCATTTTGTGAAAATAGTACATATTTCATTTTGTGTATTTTATGATAGATTGTCTTTCCATGCTTGAGTCTGAGGAGTACGAGTTTCCCACAGCCTACTTGCAGGAGATGAAGTAAGGCTTTTTACACAGCGCCCCGTTGGCAAACAGAAATAGCATTTACTCCAGTGAGTGCTGCCAAGTATGAGGTACTTCCGAGTGAGCTTCAAAAGCTCTGAAACAAGCATTACCTGCTGCTTCAAAAATGTGAACAATGTCATTGCTTTCTAGCAAGCAGAACTGGTGAGAGTAGGGATCGGAAGGAGGAAAAAAAAGAAAACTGGATGGTGATGGATGTTGTAGTAGCACTTGGGATCAGAAAGGAAGTACAGCTCTCTGTCAGTGCAGGATTTGGGGGGTTCTTAACGTGATAGTACCTAAAGTGTATACTCTGCACTCGAGGGGAAACCATTTCCACCCCCAGGTACGTAAAATCTACAGAGATGTAGCACCGTGCTCGGGAAGGAGCCGTTGGACAAGCCCAGGCTGTTGGGAGCACTGGTAGGAATCAGTTGTGCTGGTTCCATGCCTGGCGAGGCATTTTCTTACCACCCCTCCATGCTCAGTGAGGACAGCCAAGCGCATGCATCAGCCTCAAAGCGTGGCCTGTAACATGCGCCAGAACTTGGGGAGGGGGGGACGGGGGACGGGCAGAATGGGAGAGAAACGGGCAAACAGCTGGGTTTCAGTATGGCAGTAGGGATGGTTGTGCTTTTGCATCTCACGCTGAGCTCTGGGCTTTACCTAGGTTTGAAAGGGTGCTTTGCCTGCTTGGGAACAGGCAGTATGGGGTGCTGGGAAGGTACGGTGGTTCTGGTACTGTCACTTCAGCACAGCTCTTTGTCAGCTCTGTAATTCAGCAAGTCCCTTCCACGGCATTCACACCATGCACGTAATCTTTCCAGCTCAGGTTTAGCATGGTAGCGAGCACGCCGCCCGGACGCTTTCCTTGTTCTATATTGGTGCATCTCTGCTTATAGATGGGGGATTGACCTGCTGAGCCCTCAGAATTTGTACGGCCTCTTCCTGTGTTTTGAAGATTGCTTTTAAAATACAAATGCAATTTATCCTGGTGCTGTTCAGTTTCTTGTGGATAGTACGATGAAATATTTTTGGCGTAGAGAGACCTTAAAAATCAAGTATTTTTTTGCTCTTGAAACGGAAGTCTTGCCTTTCATCCTTGTGAAGCAGCCTTTTACTGCTGCGGTGTTGCATTGCTAAATAGCAGTTCCGCTTTTGCTGTCACCTGAAATAGGTGTAATCACTCAATAAGGGAGTCCATATAGTGGCTAATCTAATACTGCAGGAGGACTTTGGCACGTAAGAACTCTGACTTGCTGGGATCAGCGTTGCCTAAGCTTCGGTCTTTGCTTCATCTGAAACTCTAAATCAAAGACCACCTCTGTACAAGAGTATGCTTTATCACCGGTAATGAGTTGCGGCGGCATGCAGCAGACCGCCGCAGAAAATGCGTAATGTCTCCTGGCAGCTCAGGTGAATTTTTATTACTCTGTCCCCTGAAAGTTAAATCTTTTTTTTTTTCTTTTTTTTCCTTCTTGTTCTTGTCCTTAACAGTTCCACCAAGTGAGAAGAGTGATGACCATCCTTTTCCTTACTATGGTTATCTCATACTTCAGTTGCATGAAAGCTGCCCCAATGAAAGAAGCTAGTGTAAGAGGACAAGGCAGCGTGGCTTACCCAGGTCTTCGGACCCACGGGACTCTGGAGGGCGTAAATGGGCTCAATGCTGGTTCAAGAGGACTGACATCGCTGGCAGACACTTTTGAACATGTCATAGAGGAGCTGCTAGATGAGGACCAGGACATCCAGCCCAGCGAGGAAAACAAGGATGCAGACTTGTACACATCCCGAGTCATGCTAAGCAGTCAAGTGCCTTTGGAACCTCCACTGCTCTTTCTGCTCGAGGAGTACAAAAACTACTTGGATGCTGCAAACATGTCCATGAGGGTCCGGCGCCACTCTGACCCAGCTCGCCGCGGGGAACTGAGCGTGTGTGACAGCACCAGCGAGTGGGTGACGGCGGCGGAGAAAAAGACTGCAGTGGACATGTCCGGGGCGACTGTCACGGTCCTGGAAAAGGTCCCAGTACCCAAAGGCCAACTGAAGCAATACTTCTACGAGACCAAATGCAACCCCAAGGGGTACACAAAGGAGGGCTGCAGGGGCATAGACAAGAGGCACTGGAACTCCCAGTGCCGAACTACCCAGTCTTACGTGAGAGCTCTCACCATGGATAACAAAAAGAGAGTTGGCTGGCGCTTTATAAGGATAGACACTTCCTGTGTATGTACATTAACCATTAAAAGGGGAAGATAGTGGATTCGTGTTGTATAGATTATATTGAGACAAAATTATCTATTTGTATATATACATAACAGGGTAAATTATTCAGTAAAAAATAATTTTATGGACTGCATGTATAACTGAAGTTTATACAGTACAGTGGTTCCACAATCTATTTATTGAACATATCCATGACCTGAAGGGGAACAAAAGTCATTTGCGCACAAGTTTAAAAAAAACACACACACACACAAAAAAAGAGAAAAACAAGCAAACAAAAAAGTCTGCATTACATTCCTCGATAACATTGTGGTTTGTCGCCGTTGCCAAGAATTGAAAATATAAAAATTAAAAAAAAAAAAGAATAAAATTGCATGCTGCTTCAATTGTGAATTGATGATAAACTGTCCTCTTTCAGAAAAATAAATTGAACCAAAACATTCCGTTTACATTTTAGACAGTAAGTATCTTTATTCCTGTTAGTATTATATCTGTTTACTGCTTTTAACTTCTGATAGCGTTGGAATTAAAACAATGTCAAGGTGCTGTTGTCATAGTTTTACTGTTTCTCTTTTACTTTTGATCTCCCATCAGATTGAAAAAGAAAAAAAAATCATTACCTTATTCTGGATTAAAAACAAATTTGGTTTTTTTGTATGTTGTGAAGGTGTTTGCAATAGCAATCCAACTACTGACAAAACGTAATAAAAAAAAAAAAAAGAGGCAACTTAAAAAAATGGTGATGTTCCACTTTACATTGTTGAACTTCAGGCTTCAAGACAGCCCTTCCTTAACTGTATGGCAACATGCTTTTGGGGGTTATTTTTTTAATTATTTGCTGTCTTTTGAGACCTGCATTTGCGTTTATTATACCATGTTTGTTAGTGTTTGGGTTTTTTTTTTTTTCCCCCTTTCCTCCCTCAGGAAGGATGTTGGTTGGGATCCTTATGTGTTTCACTTACCATACAACTGGAGCTTGTCATACAGAAAATACTCTATAGTGTGTTGAGAGCAGTGATTTTCAGGTAATAAAAGACTCTGTGCTTGGATCAAATGTCTTTGGTGAAGCACAAGAAGGTGGTCACTAAAAAAAGGATCTAGAAAGAGGATGATGGATCTGAAATCAGGTGGATCATGGGACCGGGTAGCTCAGCCAGTTCAGGGACAAATAAGCGTTTTGCATTGACCGAGACTGTCCAAATGGCAGTCGGCACTGAATGTGGTCCTGTGTGTCATGAGAGAGCTTTGCCTTGTGCGCTGATGTCCTTACCCTCCAGAGCAGGCCTGGCAGCCCTAGGCCTTAACTTCTCTTACAAGGCCTTTCCTCCTCTTACAAGGAAAGCACTTAGCATTTATGTTCGTGTGGCTCTACCTCCCCCGTCAGCCTCATTTTATGACACAAATATTGACATAAAATATTCTCTCGAAGTGGTGGAGGAGTTGGCTTAACGTTGCTTGGGCCCCGACAGGCGTATTCAGCCCTGCGCTACCCCCCTGCCTGTCGGGACAGAAGTGTTTCTGCAAGGCAGGCTGTGAGCCCGAGAGCTGTGCGCACCACTGACTACAGTGGGCAGAGAGGCAGAAATAGCTCGTCAGTGAGCTCACTGAAGGCAGATGCTATATTTGTAATGTCTGTAAATGAAAAGTAGCTGAACGAAGAGGAAAACACTGCAAAATATTACTGCGTCTGAATGCTGCAGAGCCTGCGTTAGTCTGCCTTGCTGTTGAAGTTCATTAAAAACCTGGACTGGGCCAAGCTGATGGAAAGGTGATTCTCCCACAGTAATGCTCTATGGAGAGCGTATTTAACACGGAGTTTATGTCATTGCTAGTAGAAACCCAGGCTGGAAGCAAACAGAGACACCTTCGAAGTCAGTGATTTCTTCTACTTAGGGTAGAAGGGCTCCTCCTTCATAGGATAACTGACTGCCGAAGGAGAAACATCCCAACTGTACCATGACAACCTTTTGCCTTGGCCAGGTGCATGCTGGGTGTGAGTGAGAAGGGTTGTGGGACCCCCTGGAACTTCAAACTTCAGCCTTCCCAATCAATTGCAGATATTCAGGCTCCCACACAGAAATTAAAAAAAAAAAAACCACCCAAAAAACCCACAAACCACCCTACTGAAATGTCTCAGAACCCTTTTTGAAGTGTCCTTTGTGCAAATTAAATGTTGGTATACTGGGGAATTTCATTCCACTGTGGCCCAGTACCTGTATGTGTATTAATTCTTTGCATTTAACAACCCAGATGTGGCTCAGGAGCTATCCTCAGAAATATTCCTAAAGTACAGCCGAGAGAAGGTGTAACCAGGGTTGATTGCTCAGGAAGGGCAAAAGGTGATGCTAATGGGTGAATACAAGCAGATCACTCATCTAGACTGGAAAGAGAAATGATCGCTAGGATGTGACAGTAATCTAGTTCAGATACAGGGATAAAATAAGTCCCTGTTCAAATAAATTCAATTTCTGAAAGAGAAGTGTTAACGTGTAAAGCATACGAGAAATAACGTTCTAGTGGGATGGTAGGTTCAGGGGGGGTAAAGGGCAGCAGGTGGGAGATAAAGGGATGGAGCTGAGAACCCACAGAAGAACTGGCCCCTACATCTAGAGCGCTATTCCCCGTAATACACCAATTCTGTGATACATGAGTGAAACAGGCCGTTAAACCGCAGTCCCATGGCTCTCACCTGCCTGACCTAATACATCCGTGACCGCAGGCTTGGCAGTTTTAGTTAAAACAGAGATGGAGCGGGGGGAGGGGTTGTTTTTCTTTATGTCACTTAATTAAACTCTTGCTGTGGTCTGTTTGTGACAGAGGTATATCATGCATGTCAGCAGGCCTAGTGCTGTGTTCAAGTAAAGACTCTTGCAACTGTAAGTTAATGTCTGTGGCCTTGTTCTCTATTATTCACCTTGTGTAACATAAATATTTATTGTATATTTATATAATTTTATGTTTTTTGGGAAAAACTGAAATTGGCATTAAAATTTAAAAGCAACTGCGTCATATTGTAAATATAATTAAGCTATATTTAAGTGTACTGATTAACATAATATATGTTTAACTATAGAGTTTTTTATGTTTTTAAATATATTTTCAAAATATATATATAAAACTTGGGGTTTTTTGGGGGACCATGTGACTCTTTTCTCTAATTGTAAAACAAACTTGAGTTTTACTATAAAGATGTGTGTTCTTTGTTTTAAAACAATTTTTACTTTATTTTAGCAATAAAATCTCACTCGGAGGGCAGATAGCCCCCCTGTTTCATAGCCGGACAGTTAGCATTGGGAGGGGAGGGGCGGCAAGAATTTACTTTCCATACAGATTGGGGATACTTGCAGAATGATGTATTTCCAATTAATTCTAGCACGTAAGTCCTCATGAGACTGAAACCCCATGAATGACACATCTATATGATTTTGTTCGGCTTTAAAATAGTGAGCGTAATGGAAGTGAGGGGGAGGGGTTACTAACCTCAGTAACTGAGGGATAAGTGAGACATAAATTCAATAGCTATAGTCTGGTCAGGTACCTGATTTTTAAATGGTGTCATGTATATTTATATCCCCTGCACTGAACTTATTTATGACCCCACGGAGTACTAGGAGTGGAATTCTTTGGATTTAACATATTGTTAGCATTTCTAACAGAATATTATCCACTACAACTGCCAAGCCTTTGTATACTTAATTATCCCATAACCCTAGAACAATCAATAAATCTTCATGATGAATAGAAAACTTTCATATAACTTAAGGGAGGGAGGGAGGGGGGGAAACCAGAAACCCAAACTCTAAAAAAATTCCATTGCTGCCAATTTCCCAAGAGCCCAGCGCCAGCATCGTCTCCACAAGAACCGAGGAGATGGTGCTTATGCAGATTATCATTTATATTAAACACACATGCGTGCACATTGCTGGCTTTACTGTTGTCTTGAAATAAGCTAACAGAAGCAGTAACGGATACTAAAACCTCTGGTGTACGGGAGAAGGGGGCCGCGTTGTTACCGTGCCGTGCGCCTGCTCCTGGCTGCGGGAGCCAGTTCCGCTCGGACCCTGCCTCCTCCCCTAGGTAGGACAGAGATGGGTGAGGTCGCTTTGGCTTGTTAAATACATGTGAAACACACGGCCTAGGTACCTGGGGAATGAGGTGGGCACCCTCAAAGTACATAGCTGAACTACAGAGGAAGATGGGGAGCTAGCCATCCATCCGTGCACCCCACTGAATCCCAGCTCTGTAGGAGCACAGGAAGATCCTTCCATAGCTTTTATCACTTGGATCAGACATAAAGGCATACAGCTAGGCTTTTAAATTGCTCAGCCAGAGAACAATAGCAAGTGGTAAAAGAAGGTTTTTGAAGAGAGTATCAAGGCTACACTGGAGTGCAACGAGAGGGGGAGGACATTTATTTCAATTTGTCCCAGGTGGATCTAATATACTGCTTCCACAGGCTGCTTCTCCTAATTAAGATCTCATTGAGAAGACACCTTCTGGCAGGGCAATTAAAATTAAAAAGGACTGGATGTACTTGTTTGGAGTAAATATAAAGAGCACCAAGGCTTCACCTTATGAAGCAATTTTAAAGTTAGGAAGGTTTGGGGAGATGTTTTGGAAAAGGAGAACATTTTTCTGAAACTTTTTTGTGGAGTGGGGGTGTTTGGGTGGGTTTTTTTTTTCCTTTTTTTTTTAACCACCTGCTACCATTTTGGGTAGTCAAAACTGTGCCATTGATAAGAACCAATGGAGTTAAATTGACAGCTTTTTTTGATGCCTGTGGGAGAAGGCACGAAGGCGTCCAACTTTTCCAGACAAGATGTGGATTCGCCTGTGAAGTTTGAGATGCTTCTGAAAATCAGATCTTTTAAATCTTCTCCTGCGGCAGAAAGCACTTGGAGGTAAGTTGCTCTTTGCTACACTAACCCTCTGCTGCGGGAAACGGCACAGAGCTGCTGGTTTTTGCTTTGCTATGCGAGGGTGAGTCTAAAACCTGCTTGCAGCCTGCTCAGCTCTTGGGGGTCTGTACGAAGTGGTGTATGTGTGATTATCTAGGTGTAAGATAGCCACTGGCAGCGCTGGTTTGTCTCTGCGGGTCAGGCTGGTGCCGTGTTCACCCCGTGTGGGATTCAGCCACCCCAGCTGTTGCTGCAGGTCCCTGCTCTGTAGGAATAACCTGCACAGGGAACAGCGGGGTGGCAATTCCCAGCAATTCCCCAGCACCCAGGAGGGCCACACCGGCAGTGAGGGCTTCCCTACTGCCAGGAGCCCTCAGCCGTGCCAGCTTGCGGCAGACACCGTCGGTCTCGTCAGCATGACCGTTGCCAGTTTGCTCACGCAGGGATTTTAAAAGATGCAGAGGAGGATTTGGCACAGAGCTGCAAAGCTTCCTATCTAAATCCCTCCCTCCCGCCTCCACCAGCTGGGCAAAACACCTGTGTGACAGCGGGAAGAGGCAGGGAGCTGCCTTTAACTCCTGATGTGGCAAGGGGACGCTGCGGGGGGCTGTCCCGCCTGCCACCCTAGGCCTGGTGGCACCTTGTAGCAGGGGATGGCTGTGACAGGGCCTGGAGGCCCTTCCAGTAGGGCCAGGCAGATAGCATAGGTAAAACGGGCTCTGGAAAGGTGAGCTGAAATGCTCGGAGAAGGAAGCCGTTCGTACGCACGGATACCAGGGAGCAGAGACCTGAGCTCTCAGGACAGGTGTTGCTCTTACCCACTAGCACAAGGT